TATGTCAAAGTCATTTTTATACCCCTATGAGAAGGTGAAGCACGGGTTGCACCGGTGCGCCTCATGGCAGTCAACGTGTTACGGGTTCCATCCAGCCCACAACCTGATTGGGTTTAACACCTCAGTTGTAGGAGCTACATCTTCATAGTGGTGTAACCGTTATTAACCGCATAAGACCTGGGGGGAACGTAAACGTGCCAATACCTACGGGTTTTATTTTTTCTGCATCCGAGAAGGTTCAGCTTTGGACCTGCGCTCTGGACATGGACCCGGTGCGTGCTGAAGATATGAACGAATGCGTACGAAGTTTCATATGTTTGGGATAAAAATGACAAGAGAAATAAATCTGGTTACTTTTTGAACACTTCTTACATATTAGACCGTTCGTCTATTGTCAGCCGTGACATTTCGAATAAGTCAAAGTGAGTCATGAGGAAATTATGTCTAATTGTACTAGAGGGTAGTCACGTTTTGCGCCTCTGGTCATTCGGATGAGCAATGGGTTTCCTTGCCCACACCCCCCCCCCCCCCCCCCTTTGTCCCTCTTTATTCATGATAGTCTCTCGTTTGATGAAAGAGCAAATATGCGATTTTTAATTTTCGAGAACTGAAAATTTGCCTACATTCCGGATCGAACGAAAATGAAAAATGCTCACCTTTCCATGAGACAGCTGAGCCAAAACTTCCTAGGGCTAATTGGAATATTCCTGAATCATTCTTCCATCGGAAAAGGTGACTCCTTGCCCTCAAGAATAATCTTTGCCATTTTCTCAGATTTGCGACTATATGACGACTGGTTTCTTTTCGAATGCTAGCCACTCCTGACATTCTCTCATGAATGGCCATTTTTATTATCTGTTAAGGCCGTGAAATAAAATGTCCCTAAGATGCTTTAAATTTAGAATATTTTGTGCTACTCTTTAGCTTTTAGGCATAGCATTCAGTATATCCTATACACGCCATGGAGCATAATGGCATTTTGACGACAAAGAAAGTCGACATTTAGGCGCACACCAATGTAATGATGGCATTGTGAGCACTGGAAGATGGCTGATAGTGTGAACCTCACTTCAAGGGAATGCAAAAATCAGTAAACAGAAAGACTAAAGATAGCAGATAATTTTTTTTGTGTTGTCATCACAAAGAGTAGAGTCCAGTCTCTCTCAAATTCATGTTCCTTGGCAGAAAAATAAAAGTAAAAAATTTGAATGAATTCACACAAGAACTTTATGCATGTATGATAATTCTACATTCCAGAAACTATAAAAGCATGCAAAGAATATATTCATACATAAGAACCACCTTCATTGGAAAACATTTGTTTTGTTATTGCAAAGACAGTCATAAAGTAGTACTATCACAACATGAAATTTTTCACCGGTGAACAAATTATTTCTTTCATGGCTTCATTTGTGCACTGTAAAAGTGATATTTAAAAATCTTCAAGTACTACGGATAGTAGTTAGCACCATCAATAGGTTCTCACGTCAATCCTCATCAAGAAAGACATTATCAATGATTCAAGTGTGGAAAACCATCACACAAAAAAACAAATCAGTTTGAAGGAATGGCAGGAATGTTCAATTATAAGCAGTTCCCAAATGCATCCAGGCAACCCAAATTCTGGTTCTGTTCTTTCAAACAGGCTGAAAAACATAATACTTATATATTCCATTTTTAAATGATTTACCTATCTGTCTATCAAAACAAAAAAATAAAACATGACCATCATGTAGAATCTGGGGAATGTCATGATTGAGGCAAAAAAAAATCTTGAATCTGGGTTGGTGAAAGACTGCAAACCTTGACATGTCAAAATTTGAGCAAAAAATGGAAGAGACAAAAGAAAAGATTTGGCCCAGGCAAACATCACATACAAGGGACAATTTTGCGAACATATAGTATGAATGGGATCATTCTCTGATATCACTGTCCATTTTCTAGATTCATTTCCAAAGCCAAGTATTAAGGCCATTGCAAACAAATATCCTTGAGTTGAGTGCAGTGATAAAGATATGACTTAAACAGTCTGATCAGATTTTTCACAAACATGCAACGTGTCTCGAGCATGGCCTCATGTTCTTTATGAGAATACATTTTTTCATAATACACATTACATTTTTTAAATTTCATTATTTTACTGTCATCAATTGCTAATAGCAAGAAATAAATATGAAAGATAAAAAGGAGCATCATGGAATTATGAAAAATTTTTACCAGTAAGTGATATCATACTTCCAGAGACTCTACTCCCAGAAACTTTCACTGGTCCCTCAATGAAGTCTTGGATTAGCCCTGACAATTGAAAAGCTTCTAATGGAACAAGCTCTCTTGTTTTGCATTGCTCAAGATTCTCTGCTTCAACTGTTACCATAAATCTGGATTTGGGAAGTATGGGCATAAAATCGTTGTCCTTAATAATGTTGTCATGTAGAGGAGGAAGACACCATAGCATACATGCTGATGAAGTTTCATTCATTTTCTCAGCCAGGCTATATCTATGACATAATCCAAATGACAGTTTCTAGATGCTACATTTGACTTTTGGTAATAGGTAGGCCTGTAACAGGGCATCTATGCATGAATTTCTGACAAATGTCGAGTTTGTTTAACTTGGGAATTGACACTGCCAACTACAAGGTGATCTTCTCAGGCAGCTGAGAAAACAAATGCAACATCAGACTCATAAATCATCCCCAGATAAAAATGGTTGAGATACTGGAATAACCAACAGAATATCTTAGCACCTGACTTTCAGGCGTCCTGAGCAGACAACTGATATGCAAGTAACTCTCTTCTCACTCAATGAGTTTTTATTTATACTCTGCATCCAGCACATCTGTATCTATTCACTTCTAGGGGATTTGCTCTTCAGGTATTCTTAGAGCATCATGCCCAAGGGAGGAAGGAAGAAAGTTGAGCTTAGGTTGGATAACCTCACCATTAAGCTGCAAATGGGGTTATAAATTCTAATATTCTCTTATTTAAAATATAACATGATTGGCACTGAGTTGTAAAATACTGTAAATGTCAACATTCATTGTCTCAATAGCATTTGAAAGGGTTCCATATAATTTTTTACTGGGGGATACATGGTCTTGCAAACGTCAAGAATCATAAGATACATTGGTTTATTTCCTCCTTTGACTGCAGCACTCACCTGTCAGATAGAAAAATGTTTTTGCAAAAAAAATTATATGAAAAAAAAAATTTTCCCAGTCACCCAAAATGATTTAGGGAGACTCAGATCAACCCATACTGACCCATTTAGAGCCTAATTATCCAAGAATGACCTAAATCAACCAAAATTGAAACATGGAGACCAAAAGACTTACTTTAATCACTACCCATCAGTCACTTTGCATCACTGGGTTAATTTGAAACATTGTCAATTTCTGATCAAATTGGGTTACTAGGATAATTAGGAAAATTTGGGATCCCTTTTGGATCACTCTGGGTGACTTGGACCTGATTTAGTGATTATGATAACGTTAGCATTACTTTATCCCAAGGGGTACACATATGGGTTCCAAACAGTTGAAGCAAGAAATAATCCATACACAGCCAGTATAATCCTTCGACTGCAGACTTATGAGACATCCAATATTTCAGTTCAATAAATGCTTCTTCCTGCTTCTCACACCACAGACACTCCACCCAATATTAAGAGTACACGCCTCTAGCAACAGAAAAAAATCCCCAAACTCATGAATTGAATAATCAAATAATCCAAACCATCAAATTACAGGATGAGCAAAGAAAACTGGGGTTATCTTTATCACTCCACAGCACTGATCCCAAAGAATTTGCTAAAATTTCAATAGCACCTCTGTATAGAACTTTCATTCAGCTTTCCAATGATGCTAACAGAATAAAGATTCATGGCATAACTTTCACGCAGTTAGGTAAAGAGTATAAGAGGTGGCACTGGAAAAGTGAACTATGTCCTGGCAAGATTGCAAATGTGCAAGCAAAGGAATGGATGTCATCTGGAGCACATCTTATAAGGTACTGGTAAGTGCACTTTTCAAGTGCAACCTGTTAAATTGTGCCTAATTGCTGGTGCATCAGAATGACGGAATGGATCTTAATTTTTTTTACATTAGTGGAAAGCAATACCTGTAAAAATGTTTTATATAGAGACATTATTACAATATTTTCATACTCATGAGAAACTACACTGAGAAGTGTTAAAGATAACCCAATATTTTTTTCGCCCACCCTGTATATGGGTATTTGATAAGTAGATTATTTCAAAAAACTCATTAATTACAAATTAAGTAACTAAAAAATTATTTTATTTTTCCTCATGTATATAACCTCTCAAGATGAATAAAATATGCTCTTAAAAATACTTAGGTCTCTAGCCATGAATATTCCAGGGTTCAAAATTCAACATGGCTCACTGAGTCTTAGCAGTGATGCAGGAATGCATACATATCCACTGGAAATGTGATAAAGATTCCTTGACTTTGAAGCATACATTTTTTCCTGCAATTAGGAGGAAAGGAAGAATGTACTTATACTTTCAAAGGTGAAAATGATACTTCCAAACAAAGGAATCTTGACTAATCAGAGGAGGCAATTCCCAGAGAATGTATTTGCACCCCAGCATTAATGATTCGAGACTCAGTGGACCATGCTACTTGCAGAAACAAGGAGTATTAATAAAAAATTGTTACTTATCCAACACCCAATAGATTCACTACATCCCTCACAAACAATAAGTGACAACACACTTTAAAGAAAAAGATCTCAGAATGCCCTATAAAAATAAGCTGCCAGTACAGGCAGAAGTACTACTATTAAATGCTTCCCATCAACTCCCTGAGAAACACCCTCATCAAGATATCAATAAGGCCTTTGAAAACATCACTGAATGCAGGACTGATGTAAATGTTTTGAGATGCACTTCCTTCATAAAGCATGGGACAAAGGAATTCTCATGACATACAATTTACTTGATAAGCATCCTTGAAATGAAGAATACATTTTCATAGGTTGTTTCATACTGAAATAGGACTTTTCTTAATTATTCCCTTCAATTCATTTTGCAAGCACCATATTCAATATGAAGAAGGAGATATTGGAGGCAAGGGAAACCAATGGTAATCATTTGCACAAGGAACAGGCACTGGGAGAATGGCAGGATTATTCACAAAAAGAAAGCCCCAAAAGAATTTTCAGCTTGGTCTGCATTGAAGCCTCTCATGAAAAGGATTCACATGCTTTGCCTCTTGAACCAGCAAAGGATGTTGATCCAAATAAAAGAGGCAGAGGCAACATATACAACTCGAGCTGGAGGAGGCAAAAGGGCGAAGTTGATTGCTTGGGCTGGAATCCAGAAGAACCAGCTGGTCTGGAAAGAGAAGAAAACTTTTGAAATCAAATAAAAAATCAGTGTTGCCTTAGCATTTTTCAAGAAGCCATATTCGGGGGCAAATATGCCCTTCATGTCTTCTGTAGATTTTTAATATGTTAAAAGTACTGAATTTTCAGAGAATATTATAAAATTCATTTCTTAAAGGGATACTTTGGCTGATTTGATTTGGCTGCAGTCAGGTCACAGTTCCAGTTCGAGTTTTTTTGTGATTGAGGTCAACAAGAGCACAATGGAACTTCAGTCAGATCAAAGCATAAACTGAAGCTATAATTGAACAACTAAATTGCCATTTGAAATCAGCCAATGTCCATAAGAGTGCTTACACAACATACATGTCATATGAATTTTCATGTGAGTGTGCAAAAATGATAGGTATGGTCCTATATATTACTTTCATGCAAATATACTCAAATATGTCAAACCACCCTTAGAAAGAGCTGCTTCTCAAAATTGGCATAAGAAATTCTGTTTCTACAACTGGTGAAAATATCCCCTCCTATAGTAAGTAGCTGTTCCACAGTTTCACTCCCTGGCAATGGGGTGCTACATCTTATGAACAGCATTTTACACCTAAAAAATTATTTTAATCATATAAAGGATGTGAGCAGTCACAAAGTATTTCAGCAAAAATTTAGCTTTTCATCTAGAAACATTACAGTGACAACACATAAATGTTTAATTGAAAAAGGGACTACTTACTGGTCCAGAGACTATATTCTACAAATGAACTTATATCCACTAAAACAACTATAAAATATAATTAGTTCCTATGACTTGTTAGGTGTTACTTTCACTTCATTAATAAAGAACAGTGGTTATAGGGCAGGACTGGCATGCACCATCAATTGAAAAATCAATACTGATTCATTAATGAAGAACCACCAATGGAGGAAAGACTTACCAGGTATGTGGGACCAATCTTCTGCTTCCATTCAGCCAAGATGTCACTCTTGAATTCCAGAGTACTCATTCCTGCAAGCAAAAAATGAGCAAAAATAAAAAAGGACTAACATAAAAGCAATATTTATATACCTAGGTGGATCAAGCTTTCCAGCCAATTCCATGGAAGCACCTACCAATATAGAAGACAGAGATTGATGTTGGTGTCATAAGGCACTGGTCAAGAAGCACCTTCAAAACCACAGTTTTGGCAGCTGCTCCCACAAAGGTTCTGTCCAACCATTTGTACCTATTAATAAACACGAAACTAGGATGCTAAAACCCTTGAAAGCAAAACAGACAGAATCATATAGGGTCACACCCATAAAAGCAAAGAAACAAAACATTGGCAAGTACTAATTCCCTGTGAAGACATTAGGCATTCAAAAACATACCATGCCAACCTTAAAAAATTTTTTATACCTAACCATTTTCATAATGTACTGGTTCCACATTTTGCAGCTTCTCAATTTCTAAATTTCTGGCATTGACTATTTTGGTACAAAAGCATATATTTTGGTTGGTGTCATTGGATAACAGAGTTCAGAAAATTCCTCTTTTTGTAAATGCTTTTAATTCCTAGTATGAGGCATCAAAGCATGTGTCACCCCCAATTTCAAGAGTGCTAATGAAATCTTTGAAGTAGGTCAACTGAAAATTTATTTTACTAGGACATCTTCTCAACATCATTACAATGTCCATGAATTTTGTATACAATGCAAACCAAACTCACCTTATCACTGTCAAATGGGGAAAAAATGTGGTCCAGGTCAGTCTATGTATTTTCCAAGACCAATAAAGACCATCAGTATTTAAGATCCCAAAGAGCATGGCTTTGACATGCTTCATCAGTAGGTCATTTGTTAAAACTGTTTTTGCAAGCTTTGCTCAAGGTTGGCCTGAATGTTCAGTTGGCAGGTGCTGCCAAAAGGATCCCCACCACTTATGTACTCCCATTGCACTCAAACTGTACTATGAGGGTGGTTCAAATTTAACCTGGACTTTTGTTTATAAAAGGCTGGGTAGAACTTGTAGATTAATCATTTTTGGAATCATTTGTCTTCATAGCGTTGTTAACCCATGCCCACAATTACATATTTCCTGCTTTAATACACATGCTAAAAATCAAGATGGCAGCAATTAAAGTAATAAAAGGAAGGTGGAACAGCGAATAATTATTAAATTTCTGATCGATGAAAACATCAAACCTATTGAAATTTATGGACAATTGACTGCACAGTATGACGATGAGTGAATGCCAAGGAAACCTGTATTTGAGGAAAGCAAATCATTTAAAGATGGATGTGAAAGTGTACAGAATGAACCACATGCTGCAAGACCAGTCACCTTGTTCAACAATGCAAACATTAAGCGAGTTGAGGATCTCATTTTGACTGATGGAAGAGTTTCTTTTTACAGACAATCATCACCATTATTGTACAGACAATCGTCTGTAAATTTAAAACAATTTGATGTTCCCATTGGCCAAAAATTTCATTATGATTCGCTGTTCCACCTTCTTTGTTATCTCAACTGCCACCATCTTGATTTTCAGCACATGTATTAACCCTTTCGGCGTCATCCCAAGTACATACTCGGGATGCACCTGTGTGCTTACCTGTGGGATAACAATTCAGGTGGACACAGAAAGGGTTAAAGCAGGAAATATAAAATTGTGGGTATGGGTTAACAACACTATAAAGACAAATTATTCGAAAATTATTAATCTACAAACTCTACTCAGCATTTCATAAACAAAAGTCCAGGTCAAATTTGAACCACCTTTGCATATTGTACTAAATATCTGCACTATAAAGCTGACTTTAAAGGCCCTCTCTTAGGAGAAATCTGAAAATAAATCCAATCGTATGTAGTGAGATTCAAGGACTGTAATAGGTTCAACGAGTATCTAATTAGGAAAGATGAGTCAATATGGTATATTATTGTTGGTCTTTTAAAGGGATGTAACGATATTATTAATATATCGATATCGAAGCCCGATATTAGACATTTAGATTAATAACTGCGATCCTATATTTAGCTCTGCCGATCGCCAAATTTTATGGGAGTACGTGATGAGTACATGTTCCCTCGATATCCATGCAGTATGCCTGCAGGGACCAGTCATACGCAGGTCTACCTAATGAAAGTCGAGTATCGCGTTATCTATTGTGAATCTGGAAGTTTGAATTAGGGCTGTTGCGTTGGTACTGTGATTTTCGAATGATCGCACCCCCTTACCTCCATCTGAATGGCGCGCCACGTTATCCAACTAAGTGATATCTACTGTCTCAAAATAACTGCCCCAAGCTAAATCAGTGACGAAAGTGAGAACCAAGTAATTCCCGCTTCCACTACGGTATGAGGGGAGGAAGCAATCAATCGAAAATAGCAATAGTTCTGAAAATACCCATGCGTCGACCTGAACCATCGATGCGGCCTTGATACAACGGTAAATCAACATTCATTAATAGATGTGAGCCCATGTATGAGCGTCCATGAACGACACACCTTATCCGAGGAAACTCGGATTTGGTCGTCAATTTAACAAATGATAGCGGGATAAAAAGATTTAGAAAATAAAACCTGTTTCTTGCTATTTTGCCTCACGCTGAGTTGACATCCGTCATCTCAGTGCCCTGTTCCTTCCTTTTTACACTCGTTTTCCCAGCCCAGTGGAATCCTATTCGCAATAATAATTTGTAATTTAATTTGCATTACCCACAAGCAATCAAGAAGCAAATGCCTAGTGAAGTCTAATAAACCAGCAATGGCACCGACCAAGTATTGTAACAGCTCCAATTAGAATCAATTTGTAACGGGAGGTTGAGCTTTCCCATTTCCTCTTTTGGTGTGCCCCTTGTTTGCATGTCCAGTTTCTGGTACCGGGAAAAGTACCTTGCCTCAGATGCCAGGTAAACCCTATCACCCGCACGTAGATTGGGGGTTGATACCACTTTTTGGGGTGATATGTCCTTGACTCTGCACCTTTCGGCTTACTACCGGGGACCCATGGGTCCGGGAGGAGGGGCACAGAAAAGCACACAAAAGAGTCACATTTGATAATGCCCTTGGCGGGAGTGAAGTCATCGAAATTAATGGGCCCTGCTTAGCCTAATCGATGGCGTTGTCAGCAGCGAATGGTAGTCTTAATTTAACGTTAAGCCTTTGGAATCAATTGAAAACAAGAAAAGCGGTGAAAACGGATGCCATTGTCAAGATTGACCTAGGTATTTTCTTACAAAGGCGGAAAATTTGGACAAAAATTGCCTTGCATTGACCAGGGAAATACTTCGCATTTAGTATGTGGATGTTAAATCTATAGGGGCCTATCCCCAATCTTGAGGTAAGATTTACTTGCAAGGAAGGAACCCCCCCCCCCCAAGACATGGTTATTAAGCAAACTAGCCATGTAAATGAAAATGGGTGCAGAAGAGAATTTTGTTTTAGAAGAAAATAATTGATAGAAGCGATTAAAATCATGCTTCCTCAATTTCATTTACAGATTCATATTCCAATTTTTTGTTAAGGAGATGCTCTCTCAATATCATTTCTCAAATAAAACGGGGAGGAGTAGAATATTGGGCTACCTAAATATCGGAAAAACACAATATCATCACATCCCTAGTCTTTTATTAAATGCAGGACAAAAGATTTGCAGATAATCTTCATTGTCAGATATGAGTAGGCTCATTCATGGTTAGACCAATGAATACAGTCATAACAAAGAAGAATAAGGACGGCCTACCACATAAATAACAAACTTGGAAGGATGGATGAACCCAGAACAGCACAGCGGCCAATCCCTGCAAAATCATACTCAAGGACCTGGGACAGAAAAGAAAAATATATACACTGATTATTGAATGACCAAAGCCATTGCATAGTGGCTTAATATTTCCTAGCAAGGCAAAACACTTAGTACTGCTTCCAATTTAAAAAATACTCTGTGCATCTATTGAAGGGGTACCTAGTATTTTCAGCATTTGAAGAATTCTGCTGTTACCTGTTATTGACATGTGTCAAACCAGAATAAATATTCTTAATTTACAAATCGGTGGGATTGTAAATAATAAGCTGAAATTAATTGCCTGTAATTTATTTTGCAACAAAAAGTGCATCAAGTTACTTTTAAGTGAGAAAATATAAAATATCCACTTCAATTGATTTGCAGTGTATATAAGATGTCCCAGATTTCCCTAAGGATTTAAAGACAGGATGTCATTATGAGGGCAAAGTAAGTTAACAAAAGATATGAATTATTACCAAAGAAGCATTCTACAGAACTAAAACTAAGTTTCCGAAGTTATTTTTCTGTTTTTTCTTTTTTCTTTTTTTTTTCCGTCATGCGATAATGAATGAAAGAAAGCTATGTCAAATTTACTGATTTTTGGCATATTCAAAAATTTGCAAAACATTACCCATTCATGAAACCCCATCATCATTTATATTTTTTAAATCAGTGGGAAAAGATTTATTGGTAAGTGTCCAATGTTCATACCACCAAATTCCACTCAAAGAGCTTTAAGGGCTCAAAATAAGCAAAAATTACAAATTTCACAAAAAAAGCACTGCGTTCTATTGTATGGTATCCTATGCTGCTCAAAATTTGGAAAATTCCCTAGAATATCTGCCATTTACATGAAAAAAAGATGGGAATAATTTCAAAGCTTATATATATATATATATATATATATATAAAAAATAAATATATATATANATCCTATGCTGCTCAAAATTTGGAAAATTCCCTAGAATATCTGCCATTTACATGAAAAAAAGATGGGAATAATTTCAAAGCTTATATATATATATATATATATATATATAAAAAATAAATATATATATATATATATTTTTTTTTTTTACTGCATGCTACACATTTTTATTCATGCCCCACCTCACAATTTCTGCCTTTGTCTCAAATGGCAAAAAAAAATACAATAGTTTTCATTACCAGTTCTTCTATTTTATATTTATAGCTGCAACAAAAGGAAAAATCAGTGCATTCTGTTTGTATGGGGTTCATGGGCATGACTGCTCATTGAAAAAACTATCAGAATTAAAAATGTGTTATTTTTTGGCTTTTTCCCCCAATGGGATGTGACTCATATTTCCGGCACCAAATGCGGGAAAGCTGATTTCCTATTTCTGCTTAATACAAGGGTCTGAATGGTGCCTAAAAGGGAGTGTAAGAGGCTGTGAGCTGCACTTTTTGCATGGATCCAGTGATGGAGTGCAGAATGCTGGCAGAGCACATGATTGATGAATATGGTACTGATGAACTGAATGCTGACTCACAACATTATTAGAATCATTATGCATCATATTACACTACCAAGGCTTGTGCAAACAATATTCCTTCTACAAGCCTTGGCTGGAATTTTGACAAGTCTTTAATCGATGTTGGTCTGGAAACACATTCATAATTGGAGCAATTGCTCAGAGCACAAACTATTTTATTAGGAATTTACAATACTGTATTGCAAAAGCATTTTTTGTCTGTATGGCAGAATTTTTTTAGCCTTTGAAACAAAGGCAGAAATTGTCAGGTGGGACATGAATAAAAATGTGCAGCATGCATTTAAATACTAATAGATCTTTTTCCACCGAACTAAAAAATATATATGATGATAGGGTTTCATGAACAGGTTAATGTTTTGAAAATTTCTGAATATGCCAAAAATCAGCAAAATTGATCAAGCTTTCTTTCATTATTGGCCTGAAGGAAAAAAATATGAAATAACTTAGAAAACCTAACCTTTTTGAAGAACAAAGGCATTTGCTATGTTCATTTAGGTAAAAAAATTTTTGCTCCACATAAGTTTGAAGAGTGCCACTTTTTTGTAATTTGCAAAATTTGATGAATTTTTGTGACAAAATGACTCCCTACCAAAAGTCAAAATTTTGCACACTTACTTTGGGCCATGAGGGATGCCATGTAAAAAATGTTAGTCAATATTGGAGGGGGTCACCGCCTGGCCTCTGGCTGATGTGAGATGGGATGACCCATAGAACACTATTAGAAATTTAAAAATATTTTGAGTAATATTCATGATGCTATGCTTCCAAATCTATAGGGTATTGTAGGACACCTTGTATATTTCATATACTGACAATTTATATGACAAAATATGGCTTCACATAATGACATGGCATACATGGTAATATATGTATTCATCGTATTGGTCAACATATGAATACTACAATGGTTCATATACCACAGATATAGAAATGCTGTCAAAAAGAGAATGGGTAATTTAAAAATTATTCAAGGGCAAGAATTTGCCTTTATCTTTGACTTCAGAATCATAATTAGAGAATGTTTGCCTTTGGGTAGCAAGAATGAATCTAAGCTTTCTAATGATAAGCTGAAAAACACTCTTGACTAATGATTCCTTGGTCTGAAAAAATCACAAAAACCTTGCTCTGATATAAATGTTCAAAAATGTACATTCAACCTTTTTTAAGCTTGTCAATCATATGGAACTTGTCAAATACCATGGATTTTCATATCTGAATTGTCATGCCTGATTATTTATCACATATTCTAGACCAATCACAGAAATACGATCATGCATGGGAACTTCATAAATGAACATTTTTGTCAAAAAGGGTGCTGAAAACTTCACCTCTCAAACTAATCATCCTACTGCTACAGATTTGTACAATCATAATCTCAACTTTTCTAATTGGTGGATGAGAGACTATATAATTAAATTTTATGTTCAAATAAAATAAGTTACACTGGAACCATAATATCATTCATTACCTTTACATAATACAATTTCTCCAAGTTATTATACATTTTTCCCATCCATTCCCCTTAGTAGCAATACTACACATTTTTACCTGAAAATGTCCTTATATGCAAAATTAATTGATATATCATTTGCAAATGATTTTCTATTGACTTCTATATCACTGATGAAAATAGCATCATTTGCAAATTGAATTGACAATATTAATTCCATCTCATCCTTCATAGAAGTAATTTTGCATTCCATTCTTTTAATATCTTTTCAACTTTGTCTACATTTTTTGCTTGTGGGTGATCATTGCCCATATACCACTATATTTTCAATCTTAAGAAAATAAACATGTATTTAAAACTGAAACATACCTTTGAAAGGGTTTCATTTGTTGTAAAGTATTGACAGAAAAAAAAGCCTCTGGCATTTATACTAACCAATGATTAGACCAGTGAGACATGCTCAAGCTCAGGATGAAAGTCAAAGCCATGAAAGAAGTTACAGCCTTATTGCCTCAAGCAAAAACAATTCTGAGGATTCTATAGGTTAGGTCAAGAATTTTCTTTTTTTTATAGTAATAGTTTCTATTCTACAAATACAAATGGGCTTTTGAAACTCACCTCATTTCTAGCCTTTGCAAAATGCTTATTCACAGCCTGCTGAGAAAATTCAGCTCCAACGAACAGAGTGCCATAAGTCAGACAATTGCTTAGCAATGGCCTTGTTTTAAACAAGTGTTTCACATATCCCACAAGAGCCATATTTTGGTGCTATGCCTATGGCAGATTGACTCCTAACATGGGGCTACAAACTCCCTCCTAAAACGAAAAAGAACACAAAGAACAGAACAAAAAAGAAAAACATAAGATATGATACCCCTAGTGAGTATTGGCCTTGTCAAATGTCACTTAGTGTCAAAGGTGATATAAATATATTTTCAAGCACTGTAAGGAGCTCTGCTAAATCCTGACTTCGTGTATTCAAGAGGACATGTCAAATCATTCAGAAACAATATATAAGCCAAAAAAGCTTGCCTAGTTTTTAGTCTGGGTTGGAATTTGGAAATTATTGAACAGAGGTGGAGATAAGAGCAGGAAAAAAAAAAGCATTAAACATCACATCAAATTCCTCCAACAATTTCCTTAGTTGACAACTCCACTGGTGAAGAAACTTTTGCAGGCACTCAACCTAGTTATTGCTAATTTAACTTTCAAGTAATCTCTTGAAATGGATATGATGCTTTATATAATGTCAGATCTGAAAAATTCACCTCTTACAATGCTGTACTTGCCTATTAGAATGCAATATGTCTGATATTATATTTTAACATCCTCGTAGCAATTTATAGCAAGCTTACTTGACTCCAGCCATCTTCATACAATTGAGGAGTATTCTGAAAAAAGGGTTTAAGTGCCCATATGCCCTTTTTCCATATTCACATCCATGCATTACTTAAAGTGACTTGTCAAAGGGCAGAGTGGTCAGCAGGTGGTTAAGATGTACACTCAGTAAAGGAGAAGTTGATTTCCTTATGCTCTCACTATTTGACAGGCCAACTACCTAGCAATTTCAATATGGCTGCCTCCATGAATATTCCATTAGTACCTGAATGCCTGCATGGCTGAATGATTTGGTGGAAATTTTTCCTCATTTCAATCTGAAAGTGAGAGAGAGAAAGAAACAAGACAGGAGGAAAAGGAAAGAAAGAGGGCCAGTCATCCAAGCCTCTGGAAGGATGTTAGAAGTTGGTAATATCCATGAAACAATTGAAGATCCAGATGATGAATAAATGAATACTGGATCACTGATGAGCAATTGGCAAATGAAACTTGTTCTGAATTTTAACATTTTTCTTGGCTTTCTTTGCAGAAGATTTTATTTGAAATCTGGACATGTATATTTTGGCAAATGGTTATTTTAAACTGGATAGTAGCAGTGAAACTCTGGTTGGAATAAGTACCAACAGCATGGAAAAAGGGCATATGTGCATAAACACTTTCATTGAGAAATTCATTGAACCGCCAAGTTCACTTGGGATAAGGTCTAAGATATTTGACTAAAAAATTTTTTTTTTCAGTCTCAAATTAGCTCAGAGAAGTTTTTGCATTTATCTTGAATTTTATCTTTTGCACAGAGTATTATAAAAGTTATTAAAGAATATCTGAGAGTGCAAACTCTCAGATACTCTTTAATAACTTCCTTTAGTACTCTCTCTATAAGGCTAATGTCACAGTTGTAGAAAATTTTATCAAGTTTTTGATGAATGCAGGGTGTAACATAAGTCATTAATGAAATGCAAAATGATATAATTATTTAACCCATAAAGTTAATATTTCTGCTTTGCTATTTGTAAAACACAGGTCTAAAGTTTTGCCCTCATTTTTGGCAATGGCTTCTATACTTACCACTGAGCAGCAAGCCACAATAGTGAAACTGTATAATGAGAGCAAAAGTACCAGGGCCATTTCTAGGGGCGGGCGAAGCGGGCAATCGCCCGGGGCGCCAGCGGGGTAAAGGGGGAGGGGGGGGGGCGCCGGAGGGGTAAAGGGGGGGAGGGGGGCGCCATTGGAACTTCTTGCCCTGGGCGCCAACACGCCTAGAAACGGCCCTGAAAAGTACTATACAAGCACAGCAGGACTAGAGTAATTCTTTTGCTTCTCCTCCTTCCTCCAGTCCTGCTGCATTTGTGTGGTACTTTTGCTCTTGTATTACAGTTTCATTACAACAACTTGCTGCCAAGGTTTCAGAATGCTCCACATTCTGTTCCAACTGAACCTCAGGTGTTCTGGTTTCTGTTCTGTGCCACAATGATTAATTTCATTCCATTCCATTCCATTCCAGGTAATATTTTTGTTCCATTGTTTCCAGTCCATTCCCCTGTTCAGGGAAACATGGAAATTTAGTACAAACAATAATTTTTTCCTTCATACCTGTGACAAATTAGAAAAAAAAAACAAAAAAGCTATTGCAAAGGAAAAAATGGTCTAGGTACTTGGAATGGAATGGAACAAAATTATTAAATTTTCAGGAATAATCAATTTCATTCCATTCTGGTGTTTCATTCCTTGGCCATCAGTGAATAGTATTCCATGTTCTGTTCTGTTCCAGGGATTTTTCCCCATATGTTCCGGCTTTCATTCCAATTCAAAGCCCTGCTTGCTGATGAGTGGTAAGTGTAGAACCCATTACCTAAAATGAGGAGGACAAAACTTTAGACTTTTTACGTTTCAAAAATAGCAAAACAGAAATATTAACTTTATGGGTTAAAGAATTATATCAATTTGCTTTTGATTAGTGACTTTTGTTACACCCTGATTCTTGTCTCATCATTGTTCTTTTGCTCATACCTAATATTCTTAATGCATTGGCAACAACTTTTCCCCTGTGGGAAAAAAAGGTGCTTCTCTGTAATTATTTAAGATATTGAGTCCAGGCATAATGAATGATCACATGAAAAGTAGGAATGTTCCTAAGGGTTGCAAATTTCTCTTATATCATGAAACATTTATATCTCATCTCTGGGGAATAAGCATAAATTCCTTAGTTTTTCTTTTCATAATATATTGTTGCCAATTTAGATTAGCACTTTCACTGTTGTTCACACCATATGACATGTTCAGAGTTCTGACTTGGTACACCAAACATGCCATATGGAGTGTTGATGAAAGTCTGGGTGTAATGTAACTTTTCTGGCTGAGATGGCAGCAGAGGCTTAAAGGACATACTGAACTGTGTCATGTGACCCACTAGAATAGGATTTGGGAACCATTTTGCCAATGTGGTTTGTCAGGGAAAGATTTTCAAAATCAAAAATTTTTTCCAAAGTTGGCCACAAACATATGCATTCTTAGATGCATGAGGAAATGAGAAAAACCATGATTTTTACAGAGCAAAAATGTCATGACAAATGCAAACTGAATAAGCACCAATCATGCACACAAATAATTTTCAATTGTATTCATTGAACTAGCACAAATATTTTTTTCTTTTTGAAATGCCACTTAACTTCACAAGCAAAAAAATTTTAATGAAAATGTTTACTCTTGAATGTTATCTGTTACCTGTTACATGGAAAAGAAACTTTAAAAAGTTATGAACCAATAATAATTGCTCAGGACAATTGATGATGGAAAGTGGAGGGGTGAAAATCATGAATGCAAAAAATGTTAATTTTAGTTGTAATAAGTCATCTGCAAGTTCAATTTCAATGCAACCTTCGCTATTTTTTCTCAAGAAGTTCCTCAGATTATTGGTAATAAAAAAAATTTTTTTTCTCTTCTGCAGCTAATGAGCCAAAATTGGCTCATGAGTCACCACTGCTCTAGCAATATTCATGAGAAGTTTTCATGACCCTAATCTAAATTTTCTTGGTATTAATACATTCATATATCCTTCAAATTTGAGTTTTCACTTGAACTATTCTTGAGAAGTAAATGTTTTTGTCAGTAACAACAAAATTTTCTGAGCTGCACAAAAATGCTCGGCAAGGAGAAGTTGGGTGGACCTGCAAATGCTTGGCAGTCATGTTAATTTGGGAGAGAACCATTATTGCTGAAAGAAATACACATGACTGACATTCAGGTACTCATTCACAACTCATAGTTGGTAAATAGCTTGCAGGTATGAGGCAAAGCTTAAGGAAGTTAAAAAGTGAAAGGTATGGCCTTTCTCTAGGCTTCACTTTTATTTCCTAGGCTGGGGTTACAACAAGCTATAGACCCTTTTCATTTCCTTCACAGGTTTGAGTCATTACAAGCTATGCTCCACCTTCTTCTCCATTGGCTTGAGTCTACCATGCTTTTCAGTTATAGGGCTGGTGAAGCTAATTGATTACTGACAGTGGCACTGACAGATAGACTTAAGCCAGGATTGCTTCTGAGGCATTAGGTACTGCCTTAACTATTTAGATCTGAGACTGTAGCTCCTGAAGATAGAAACAATTCTGTATAATTTCGCTAGTCAGACTTGTGGCCTCAACCCCATGAAGATGTAGGCTGCCTGAAAAATCTGAAATAGGATCCTTAATTGTCCTTTTTCTTATTAACTTCCTTAAGCTTTACCCCATACCTGGAAGCTATTTACAATAATTCAGACTTTCATCTCTGTTCTGTGTATCTGGGTTCAGAAGCTGGGCATTTTCTGTGGCCCTTGGGTGGTTTCAGCCAGATTCAGCACCAAGAAAATGACTTTTTTTTACTCTATCTGCACACCTTGGCTGGAGGCAGTTTACTGCCCCCAACCAGGTAATTGCTTCTTGAATGTTTTCAGAAGGAATTGGGGAGAAGGAGCAGAAGCATTCCCAATAATACATACAGTAATTCTGCCATTACAATCATGTTTTTACGATTTTGGGGCCTTGTACGTCTTGCATACAAAACATGTACACTTTCAAACACCACAAACAGTGTTCACATCCACATAACGACCTAACGTTCGGGTAAGCAGGAAGTCTGACGGGTGGAGAACTCAGACCAAGTGGAATGATCGGTTTGACAAGTCGATGATGAAGGTCCAAAGCAAAAGACTACTAGGTAGCCATCCCAGTAGTATGAATGTGGGAAATATCTCGATTTCAAGAATATCGCAAGACAGTGACTGGACCACGTGGAGGTGGGACAGTGGAAAGCCACCTCGCGAAACCACTGAGCTAAGAAAAAGAACTGGAGATGGCGCACAATACAATGGATTTGGGGCAATTGGAAGCCATCTTAGTT